ACCCACAGTGGCCTTTGTAACAGGAAAGGGGAGGTGTGGTGACTGTGAGATCTACAGATGTTTATAGAGCCGGAGATGTCCTTTTTTTTAATGGCTGAGGGGACTGTGCCCCCTCCCTGAGTCCGTCCGGCGGGTTGAGGTCTCCCCCAGGCATGGACCTCTTAGAAAGGACACATAGGAAGGTGTTCTTAACCACTGGATCAGGCCTCCCAGAGTGGGTGGCCCTCGAAGGATGGAGCTGAGGTGGTATGTGGCATGCAGGCTGCCCAGGCCCCACAAACTTTCCACCTTTACACCCCAGGCCCTCCCAGGAGGGGCAGGCTTGCACGAGCTTTAAGTGGTTTCTGTGGTCTAGGGGGTGGGAAGGAAGGGAAGAAGAAGTTGGTGACTGCTCCCCAGTTCCAAGCCACCACCACCACCCTCCACACCCCCAGGCTGCTTGCCCCTGGCGTTCAGATTCCCCTGATAAGGGAACTTGGGCACGTGGTGGGTGAATTGATTCTCTGATCCCTATCAGCCTCTTCCTTGCGTAAGAATGTGAGAATGTATTTGGGGAGGAAATAACCACTGCCCTGCTCTGAAAGGACTGATTCCTCCAGAAAAGAAGCTGTGATTAGAGCAGGAGGGAAGAAGTGTAGGCATGAGGGGGGGACTTCCCAAAAGGATGATCAGGGTACCTACTTGCCCCAGGGAGAAAGAACACCAGCCATCCATGCTTAGGGTAAGGAAGGCATAGAGATACGCTGGGAAGCATGAGACTAGCTTAGGCCTAGAGCCAGGACCCTGTCTTCCCAACCACCAGTCACTTCCTCCCCACCTTACACAGTGGCACGAAGTGGCATGGCTGAGAGAGGCAGCCAGACCTACCGTATCTGGGGTGGGCAGGGCTGCCTGGCACGATGCCAGGGCCAAGTGCCCATCCCCAGGCGCTCTGCACGGCCTCTACTCCATGCCCATGCTTGGTAGGTCAAGAAGGATCCTGAGGGACCCAGAGTCACAGAGGAAGAGAGGCTGAAAGAGGAGAAAATAGAAAGAGGGATGAGCTACCGAGGCACAGAAAACAGAAGAGCCATAGGCATGGAGGGGTTGGCAGGCAGAGACACAGAGAGAGGATACTGAGAGGAAGCAAAGCCAATCGTGGGCAGGGAAGGGGACAGCAGAGCAACACTCTGCCCCAGCACCCCCTGCACCCTGCCCCTCTGCCGCTTGCTGGCTCTACTTGTCTGCTGGGCACTGGCCTGGGTGGTGCTTTAGAGAGCTTTACTTCTTACTCCAAGCTTGCCCAAGGGGCTGAGCCCCAAAACAGACCAACATCCTGTTCTGTGCAGAGAAGTATACACAGACGCGTGGGCCATGCATTTACCAAAAGGACACGGGGATAATCAGAGTCTCAGAGGAACAGACACACGCCCTCAGACTCTCGGTACAGGAAGGTCCCCAAAAGTTTCCACTCCACTCTTCCTCACTCCCTGCACCCTTGTCAACCATCCTGGGAGCTGGAAAGTCCTTTTCTACTTCTGACCTTTGTCCCGTAAGCTGCAGCCCTCCGGAGTCTCTGGGAGCTACCCAGGAACAGAGGTGTTGATGGTAGCGGAGCGTGCGGTTCCAGGGTGGGGCACGAGTGCAGGATGGTGAGGTGGGAGGGCAGGTGAGGGAAGGGACAGCTGCCTGCCCTCTCCACGCCAGATGCCACGTGCACCGGGGAGGAGTGGGCTGCAGTCACGAGGCTGAGGCGTGGCTGGCTCCTGCTCTGCTGTTTACCAGCTGGGAGTGAGAGCCGGAGGAGGTGCCAGGGAGCCTCCCCACTGCAGCCTGGCCTCTGGCCAGCCAGCCTGTTGGGTAAGCAGGAGAGCCAGGCCCAGCTAATCAAACTCTGGGCCGAGTCTGTGCAGGAGATTAGTGGCATCCGGGTCCCGCGGAAGCAGTATCCTGTAGCTCTCCACAGAGCCCTTCCTCAGCGTGGGTCTGCCCAGTCTGGGGGGGGGGGGTCTCCTTCCCGCAACTAGTGCAGTGCAACGTGTCTCCCCTCCTGTCCCATGGCTCCTCTGCCTCAGCACACTCCTCCAGGCCTGCCCACAGCCCCAGCAGACCAGGAGGATGTGGAGGCACCAGGGAGCCAGGGAATTCTAGGGAAGGCAGCAAAGGGCAGAGGCTAAGCAAGCAGAGGCCTCAAGGAACCCAAGAACCATGGAGATGAGTCTGACCTCATCCTGTAGAAGAGTCACCATCCCCCGAATAAGCCATCCCGTCTTCATCTCTCCCCACTTCCCCTGTTCCTGTCACCTGTCTTGGTCAAGTAGAAAGCACATGATTCTAAAGTCACAAAGACCTGGGTTCAAATCACAGCTCAGCCACTTATTGTCCTTGTGCAAGCCCTTGGGCAACTCATGACTATCTTTGAGCATTACTTACCTTATAAGCATCACATAGCTATCTGGAGCAACTATGCCGGCCTCATGGTGGATGTTGGGAGGATTGGAGAAAATCACAGATTTACATAAAGTGACCGGCAAAGGGCCCAGCACACAGAAGGTGATAGATAAATGCTAGCCCCCTTCCCATCACCTATCCTGTTTCTCCTCAAGGCTCCAAACTCTGTTCCTCCCGTCTCTCCCCTTGTCCCCTCCTGATGCCAGGATGCTCTGCCAGCCACTCCTTTCCCCTGCCTGATGCTGGGCCAGGTGCTCTCTCCCTCCTCCCTCTTCCCTCCCCTGGGCCCTGCTCCCTGCCCTCCTGGGCAGCCAGGGCAGCAAGGACGGCACCAAGGGAGTTGCCCCATGGACAGGGCCCCACAGAGACACCACCGAGCCTCGCAGGGTAAGAGGCCCTAGGGCCCTGCAGGCAGGTGGAAGGGGCTGCCAGGAGGTTTAGAGGAGAGGGAGAGATGGCAAGAGACTGGTCGGGAAGTGAGGAGGGAGGAGGGGCAAGCAAAGAGAGAAGGAGAGAAAGATGAGTCGGCAGGGGAAGGCAGGCTGGTGAGAAAGGACAGGTCTCCATAGAGACTGAAGGAGAAATGGGAGGAGGGGCTGGGGACCTGACAGAGGAGGAGAAATAGGAAGGGGGAGAGACAGGAAGCACAGGGAGGGGAAAGAAGGGGAGAGCTGAAGAAGGAAGAGACAGGTGGGACGGGGGAGGAAAGGGGAGCAGAGTCAGGGAAGCTGGAGGGAGGAAGGGTCCACGTCCCAAGTGTGAGCACCCCCGGGAGAAAAGGCAGACACTGCTCATCTGGCTGGGACCCCAAGCAGCAGTGGGAGGCTGACCACTCCACCTTCTTCTGTTCATTCAGCAACGGAGGAAGCCGTCCTGCCTTTAGGGATGACAAAGGGTCGGCGAGAAAGCAATAGGACCCTGTCCACCGCCCTTGCCCACCAGCCCAGCACATTCCTCCCCACTGGCCTGGGGGGATGGGGTCTCATTTCTGCAGAAAATGTGGGGCATTCAGCCAGGGGCAGCGGGGGACGGAGAGTCAGGTGGTCCTTGGGCCCGCAGATGGTCTAACTCAGAGACCCTCTCTGCAGGATCCCAGGGCCATGTGCTAGGTCAGGGTGTGAGTGCTGAGGGGGAAAGGCTGCAGGGCCACCTGGTGTAGGAAGAACTCCACTGCCGGGGCAAGCACGGGGACCACCCCTACCCCAGGCCTGCTCTGAGGCGCAAGGCTGGAGGCCAAAGAGACGGTGCCAAGTCAGGGAGGAAGCTGGGTGGAGCCAGGCAGGATGGGTGGGGAGGCGGGAGGGGCCGGATGGAGCCACTCCCTCTCTGGGCAGTCCTCCCCCCACCCCACCCCCAGCAGAACACAGGCCTTCAAGTCCACTCGCCCGCCCCCACCCAGCCCAGTAGAGGAATCCTGCTTGTAAGAAGCATCTCCTGGGCAGAGGGACAGTGTGTGTGTGTGTGTGTGTGTGTGTGTGTGTGTGTGTGCGCGCGCGCGCGCGGGGGGTGGGGGTAGGGGGCGCGGGTGGGTTGAACCGAAGCCGGGGTGTGTCAAGGACTGGACAAGTAGAAGGAAAAAAACGACAAGAGAGCAGAGTCAGAAGTTAGGGAAACTATAAGAGGCATAAGGCAGACCTGCAGGGTTTTCTGAAATGAAAGACTGGCCCTGTGCTCTGTGAGAAGCCGCTGTGTGGATGTAAGAAATGCACCAAGGCCTGGCAGGGGAAGCTTCTTCTCAGGGGCTCCCTTGGTAGGTGTTTAATAAAAGCTAACCATATGAATGAATGAATGACACGCTCCTCCCCACTCCAACAATGCTCCAGCTAAGGCTTTCCCCCCAGCAGCTGCCCCTCTGGAGGTCTGTGCCTCCCTGCCCACCCCGCATCAACCCGCCTGTGCTCCCTACTGCCTGCCCTCCCCCTGGACCAGGCACACACAGCAGCGGGGTGGGGGGGATCCCATCCTCTGCAGGCTGGTGAGCCAATGGAGCCAGAGCCTGCAGGAGGCATAGCAGGGGTCTGTGCTTGCAGCTCTCCCTTCCTCTTCCCCCTAACATCCTCACTCCCGTACCCTCAACCACCACACCTCTGGAATTCCCAGCTGCTCTCAGGCACAAATAAGCAACCAAGAGATTGAACTCTGGCTGGGCTGCGGAGTATTTATTGTGCACCTCTAAGGGGCAGGCACAACAGAATAACAAGATGAGCAAGGCAGACACGGTCCCTGCCTCCATGGGGCTCACTGTCTAGCAGGAAAGCCCCGTTTCACAGATTTCACAGTTATAGCAGTGAGATGATGTGGTGAGTACCAGGAACTCAAATGCTCGTGCTGAGTGTGTAAGGACAAGGGCAGGAGGAGCTCTCCAAGGAAAAGACATAATCAGGAACCTGGGGGATGAAAAGTTATCTAGATTGAGGAGGGGCAAGGGAAGGGCATTCCAGGCAGAAGGAATAGTGTGGAGCGGTCCCAGAGTAGTCAGGAGCCTGGCACTTCTGAGGACCTGGAAGAGGCCTCGTGTGACCGTAGGGCAGAGAGTGAAGAGAAGGGTGCACTGGAGGGTGGTCCTACCTTCTCCTCAGATGGCAGGCTCTGCTGAGAAGGAATGGGGTGGGGATGAGAGCCTGGGCATTGGGGAGTGTCTCTCGGTCCTCCGTGGTCCTCAACCTTTGGCCCTGACCCCCTCTCTTCTCTTCACAGAGCTGCTGGCTGCAAAGAAGACCCACACCTGTGAGTAGAGAATTGGGGTAGGAACTGGTGCTGGGGCGTGGAGAGATGGCAAAGAATTTAGCAAGGGTTCCAGGGAGGTCCGTGTAAAAGAAAGGTGCGTGCCTTGTGCAGGGATGGAGCAGCTGGGCAGAGATGTCCGGGCCTGAAGGGAGGTGGAGCCTAGAAAAATGGGGGAGATGGGGAGATGGGGAAAGGAGGGGCAGAGGTGAAGAAACCTCAAGATTAGGGCAATCGGAAGAGGTAAGAAAGAAGCCTGAAGACTGAGAGGGAACATCGCAAAGAAACAAGGAGAGAACAGTGAAAGCGGGCCATGGTAGAAGGAGAGGAAGCTAGCTGCTGGACAGAGGCACAGGAGACGCAAGGGGGTGGGGCAGATCGCTGGGCCAGCGGGGAGATGGGGAGGCAGGGTGGCCTCAGGGACTCCGGGAGCCTGCACCAGGCTTTGTGGAGGCAGAGCCAGGTTTGGTGTTCATCTCAGTGGTTAACACATCCCGAGGTGTGAACAAGCCTGGGGCCAGCCTGTGCAGGGCTAGAGAGCAGGAAAGCCTTCATCTCTGTAGGAAACACATAGATAGGAGCACTCTGGGTCCTGGGGCCCTGAAAGACTGAGGCTACAGCATGTGAGAAAGGGGTTAGAGCTCAGGAAGGACTTCCCAATGGATACTAGCAAGTAACATCCTCTCTAGGGAACTCTCAGCACATCAGATCTATCCTCCTAGTTCGTGGGAGAGGCTAGTCCCCCAGAAAATGCACCCACTGCACCTTGGTCTCAAAGCTCATGTCCCATCCACATGCCATTACCAGCCTGAGGGCACTCTGAGGAAGGCCTTCTAAACATCCTTGAATTGATGAGGACAACTCTGGGGTAGGAGAGGCCACCTGCATTTCTCTATGGCCCTCCCTTGGATTGCCTACCAGTTCCCCCTGAGAGCTCACTGCGACTCCTCCTGCTGTCAAAATTGCTAGAGCTCCCTGTTCCAAGCAGAGAGATCTCAGAGGGCAAAAGCATCACCCTCCTCCCTGAGCTGGTCACACAGGGGCTGGGGGGCCACCGGGAGGCTACATCCTTCTGGTGGGGGGGTTGCTTTGCTCAGCACAATCCTGATCTGTGCCTCGCCTGCCCCTAGCCACAGGGCCCCACGGAAATGCTGAGCAGGGCCCTGGGAGGAAAGCGGGTCAAGGAGTGACGTGGGGGAGGTGGGGGAGGTGAGGACCAGGGACCATATGTGGGTGGGGGGAGATGGGGGACTTTCGGAGCATCTGGAACTGGAAGAGGCTCAGCTCCATTCCTACCCTTAACCCCTTACCGCAGAAACCTCGGCCAGGACCACACCCCCTTACCCCTTCGCAACCCACTGGCCCCGTGCAACCACCCCCTCACCCCACCCCCACCGATGAGTGTCCTCCCCCAACCCACTGCCCAGCTCCTGAGAGCCCGAGGAAGGCCAGCGGGGAAAGGCTTGTGCCAGGCTGAGGAGTCGTGGAGTCCCGGCAAGATCAGAGACCTCTTAGGAGTTTTGGCCCAGAGAATCCAGGAGAGATGAACACCTCCCCCAGGCCCAGAGGCTCTGAAAAATGGGCTCCAGAATTGAGACAGCCCCCCAAAGGGGGTCCGAGACAACCCCAAGGAGGGAGGAACCCGAGAGGGATGCCCCAGACCAAGAGGGGGCCTGATTACTAAGGGATCCTGAAGAGGGAACCCCGAGGCTGAGGTACCCCACGGAGCAGCTATGAGGCTCAGAGAGCCTCTGAAGTTGACTGGCTCCACAGAAGGACCCCAAGGCCAAGAAACTCTACAGAGAGATTTGCACACCAGGAGACCCTCGTAAGCAGACCTGAACCAGAGAAAACTTCCCATTCCTCAAGTGGAATCTGGGGCCAAACTGCCTGATTTTGAATCCTGACTCCACCACTTTACTAACTGTGTGACCTTGGGCAAGATACCTAACCCCTCTGTGTCTCATTTTCCTCATCTTTGAAATAGGTATAATGGTACCTACCACATAAAGTATTTTTTGAGGATTAGCTAATCCACATAAAACATTAAGAACCATTTCTGGCATATGGCTAAGCATTATCATCATATCACCCACATTCTGATTTCAGCGGTCTTGCTCCTGAGGACATTTCTGATGGACTGACCCCTCCTACAGATCGTGGCATTTGTCTGATGATTACTACTGCTACTATTATCATTTATTCCCCAGCCCAGGGCATGCACCGTGTCTGTAGGGAGGGCGTGAGCATGGTAGGTGGTGGGGCAGCCTCCCAGACTGCATCTCACTGAGCTCGGCTCTTGGCAGTCCACAGGGTCGCAGGTGGCCCCAGGCAGACATTCTGTGACTTACCTCTAGAAATATCCCTGTCCCTGGAGTCACCTGGCAAAGAGGGTCAGGCTCTGGGATCCTCGGGGGGAGGGGGAGTAGGGACCTGGCCCCAGGCTCGTGTGAGCTCCATTCCGGCTCCCCAGCCAGAACTACCCTGGCGGGTGGAAACAGCTTTTACCGCGTGTGTCTTTCGCCTGTGGTTTTGGAATTTTCCAACGCCCCCTGCGATTGGCTGCCCCGCCCCTCACACTCTGCCCCAGGCCCAGATTGGCCACATGGGGCGCCTGTCATCCTACCCACTACACCCCAGAGGGGTGGGGGGGTGGAGCTGGGGGGGTTGTCACTCAGCCACCTGTGGGGTGCAGATCTTAAACCCCTTGCCCAGCAGCATTGGGGGAGAGCTAGGTGCAGAGCCACGGCCCGCAGCCCCACTGCCATCTGCGCCCCATCCCTGGAACACCCCTGCTGAGAAGGACAGGGAGCCCAGGCGGCAAAGCCCACGACTCAGTCATGAGAAGTAAGTGAATGGGCCACCCGGGAGAGGGGAAGCCTGGGGCCCTCTGGAAAGGACGGGCACCTTGGGAACAGTGTGAGCAGAGCTGAGTGCTCTTCCCTGGCAGGGGGTGTCCCGGTCAAGGCCAAGGTCTGTTGGGAGATGGGTGGAATAGTCGGGGAGTCTGGCTCCCTGAGCAGTTCTCTTAGAGCAGCCACAGTAAAGGGACTATTGAGGAACTCCTGTGTCATGGGCTCTGAAAAGGATCTCCAAGAGTATCTGAGGTACCCTGACCCTCGTTTTACAAAAAAGAGACTGAGACCCAGAGAGGCCCAGTGCTTCACCCCAGATCACACAGCTGTAGTAGGTGGAGGTTGGTAATTATAAGCCAGCCTGAACTCACTCCCCTGGCTCCCATTGCAGTGTTTCCCTCCGTGCCTCCAAACGGCCTGAGAGTAGGGTGAGAAAAGAGTCCGAAGGAGTTGCTGTACCCTGAAGCGGTGGGACAGTGAGGGTAAAGCCAGGTCAGCAGGCAGAGGCGGTCAGAACCCCAGCATCCAGGCCTCTCCGTCACTCTCCGCCCAGTGCAGGAACATGATGACCAAGTGGAATCCAGCCAGGGCTGTGTGTGTGTGTGTGTGTGTGTGTGTGTGTGTGTGTGAGAGAGAGAGAGAGAGAGAGAGAGAGACCCCCACCCTAGGTTCAGATGCCTGTTTGATGAGTAGGATCACACAGTGGAGATGGGAGCAAAAAGCCCTCAGCTTCACCCGTTTCCTGGCCCAGAGCCATGGGCCAACAGCTGGTGGGCAGATGTCTGGGGTCCCTGTGCCATCTAGCAGAGCAGGGGTGGGCAACTCGCACTTGTAAGGGAAGCCAGAGGACCTCTCAGAGCACAGGGCGAAGGAGGAAAAGGGAAGTCCCATGCCCCTGTGGCCTGAGGCCTGAGGTACCCCCAGCCTCAACCTGGGGTCTTCCCACAACCCACAAAAGAGAGGCCATATTAGATCCTGGAAAGACCCGTGGGCTGAGTCTAAAGACCATGTTCTGGTGCCACCTCTCACAGACTAGCCTTGTAGCCTTAGGCAAGTCATTGGGCCCTTGTCTCCTTAAAACAAGTAAGTTGAATTTTAAAACAGAACCAACTTTGGAGAAGCGCCCAGTTCTGAGGGCCCAGGACTAAGGAGAGAGTGCTGGTCTCTGAGTTAAGCACCTCCAAGGGTAGTGGAGGAAACTCAGCTCTCCCAGAGGGTACACAGAGGCGATCAAGGATAGGAAAGAACTTCATTTCCACATTTGGGACGGAGACTCCAGTGCATGTGTATGAGCTGGGGCAGGTCAGGAGGGGTGAGGAGAAGAGCCAGAATCTTCCACAAGAAGAAGGGCCTCTTGGGGCTTCAGTTTCCCTTCTAGCTTCTTCCCATTAGCAGCAAAGGTTAGCAAACCGGTCTTCCCAGAAATGGTCTCAAATCAGCAAATCCACCCTGGGAAGCAATGATCAGATGTGTTTCAGAGCCTGGCAGGAGGGCAGGAGTTCCTGGGACTAGACGGGGGAGACACTTGGTCAGCTCTACATGATATCCCCCTGGGCAGTAGGCAAGAGAGGGGGTCTCCTCCAATCTGGGGGTTGGTACCACTGGTCCCTCTCACTAGGACATCCCTGGGTATCTCATAGCCCCCGATTATCTGACTGCCCTGACCCCCTAGTGAGTACCAGCCATCACCATGTTCTCTGACCTTAGCTGGGGCGGGCAGAGCACTGGGGTCTTGGGACTGTGACACACCCAAAGACCCAAGGGCCAGACACACAAGGAGCAGAAATAGATCAAGAAATAAAGAGAGATGCAGAGGCCAAACTCAAATGACAAAAGATCTATGAAACACATGGGGAGAGAGTGATGTCCAGATAGAGATATAACTGGAGAAATGCCAGGAGAGTCAAAACATTGCGGTGTCTAGCCTGAGACAGAACTGGAGTGCAAAGATGGAAGGGCACACAGACGCAGGGAGAGGCAGAGAGGAAAGAAAGCTGGCAGGAGAGGGGAGACACTGAGTATTGATTGGGTCTAGGAAGGCAGAAAGTGGGAGGCATGGGATTTCTAGAAGTTCTGAAGGAATGAAACAGGCTCTCTGCCATGGCAACATGCTGGTCAGTAGAGAGGAAATGTCCATTAGCCAGAAAG